CTGCCATCACACAGACAGACATGAGAGTGTAGAGACCTGCCATCACACAGAGAGACATGAGAGTGTAGAGACCTGCCATCACACAGACAGACATGAGAGTGTAGAGACCTGCCATCACACAGACAGACATGAGAGTGTAGAGACCTGCCATCACACAGACAGAAGCACAGACAGACATACATGGATGTTTCAATGAAACAGTTCATGCATGTGCAGATGCACACAGGTACAGGCAGACAGCAGCATTGGGATCAGACTCACCCCCAACATAAAAGCTCTGGGACACGTCCACTGTGACACCATCGTTAGCCTGGGCAGACGGAGACAGCCCACTGGTTAGAGAACAGTCACCCTCTTGATGAGGTTCTTAATAACAGGGCACTAATAAGAAAAAGGATTCAATACCTTCTTCTCGTATTCGGTTTGTTGGGTGTTTAATACTGCAGGAGGTAGGAATCTGCAGCAGGAGAAGATGTCGAAGCCCAGGTGCAAGACTCAGAGCACTTTTAGATATTATTAAGTATAATATCTAATATAATATAGTATAATCTGATTATATATAATATATACATCACATATATAATATTATAATATAGAATTACAATCTAATTATCTAATTATACTGATCTAATTAGAATATAGTATGATCTAATATAATATTATTGTTAAGATTCTGATATTATTAAGATATTACTGCAGTAGCAAGCTGCACACACAAACGAAGGGCACACGCCTCCCAGCCGAAATACAGAAGAGTAAAAGGCTGGCGAGTCGGTGCTGTGAAAGGAAAATAAAAAACAGGGAAAAAATTTATCTCACAAGCCAAACCAGAAAGAAACGGGGAAAAAATCTCAATGTAAATGATGATTCTGAATTGTTGCTCCAGGGAATAAGAGATGGAAGAGAACAGAAATATTTGTTTTTTGAGTAAGAGAAAGGCGAACAACGGAGAGAAGCTCTAATGACGGAGCAACGATTCAGTGGTCTGACTCAAATAAGGGAACCGATCAGAGCGATTTGGAAATAGATCGGGAGCCTGATTGAACAACTGAAGGCCTAACTGACGTCTGGTTTGAATGACGGGTTGAGAGCTCGCAGGGATGCCGGACACAAGTCAGTCCCGGTCCAGGCATGATGCTAAAATGTTACGCTGAAGTGCATACAAGCGCAGAACACTTCAGTGTCTAATAATCGAGGTACTCAAAAGGGTTTAGACGAGCAAACAACAAACCCCATAAAAGACCTGTTCCTTTGCATACTTCATAATACATCGATTTCAGAGATCTGCACAGAAACTACTGTCATATGGGCCTGTCTAGTGTTACAGCTCATGTGCTAGACCATTCGAGATTATCATGGCCTCCTAATAACCCCCCTCTCTGAACTGGCTTCATCACTCTGCTCTCCTCCCCACTGAGAGCTGGTGTGTGGGGAGAGGACTGGAGCATCATCCAGGTGGGGCTGCACACTGGTGGGGGTGGAGGGGATCCCCATGACCTGTAAAGAGCTTTGAGTGGAGTGTCCAGAAAAGCGCTAT